GGATTATAGACTCTGGAGCCTCAGAGCACATGACCCATTGCTCCACTATTTTCTCCTCTTACTAGCTCTGTTCTGGCAGAGATAGGGTCTCCACAACTGATGGATCCCATGTTCCTATTGCTGGGAAGGGATCTGTCAAGATTACTGATTCCATTTGTTTACCCTCTGTCCTCCATGTTCCTAGATTGAGCACCAATTTATTATCTGTTAGTAGTTTAACTAAGAATCTGAATTGTTCGGTAATTTTTTCTCCTAGATGTTGTATTTTGCAGGATCTGGATTCAAAGAGGATGATTGGGAGTGGTCGTGAAGTGAATGGAATCTACCTCCTGGATGCTCTTCCTCTTCACCAAAGTAATCATGTTTGCAGGGACAATGAGTCAAAATCTGTGGATCAGATTATGCTTTGGCATAATCGTCTGGGTCATTTGTCTTTTTCTTCTTTGAGTTCTTTGTTTCCAAAACTGTTTGAGTCTGTGAGTCTGTCAAGTTTGAAGTGTGAAGGTTGTGAACTTGGAAAGCATTGCAGACACTCTTTTAAACCTAGTAATAAAAGATGTTCTTCTCCTTTTGATGTTATTCATTCGGACGTGTGGGGCCCTTATCATGTTCCCTCTATGGGCGGCTTTCGCTATTTTCTCCTGTCTGTGGATGATTTCTCTCGATATTCCTGGATTTACCTGATGAAATCCCGCGATGAAGTACCATCCTTGGTGAGGCAATTCCACCAAATGATACTAACACAGTTTGGAACGAGAATAAAGATGTTCAGATCTGACAATGCTAGGGAATATTTTGAGAGACATCTTGCCTCGTATCTGTTGGAGTATGGTGTTGTCCATCAGAGTAGTTTCTCCTACAGTCCACAGCAGAATGGTGTTGCAGAGAGGAAGAACAGACACATTGTTGAGACGGTAAGAAGCATGATGATCACAGCTACAGTTCCGGTTCGTTTTTGGGGTGATGCAATTCTCACGGCAGTATATCTGATTAACAGGGTGCCTTCTCGTATACTTGGATTCAGCACTCCATTCAGCCTTCTTTTTCCTCAGGGGGAGATGTTTCATATTCCTCTAAGGGTGTTTGGGTGTGTCTGCTTTGCRCATATCCTTGGTCCTTACCGTTCGAAGCTTGATCCCAAGGCAAAGAAATGTATCTTCCTTGGATATGCAGAGAATCAAAAAGGGTACCGCTGCTATGATCCAATCTCTGGGAACCGGTATGTTACCATGGACATTACCTTTTTTGAATCTACGTACTTCTTCTCAAGGAATCCTTCTCAAGGGGAGTGTTTTGGGAAAGTAAGTCAGCAGTCTATCCCTCTCCCAGTTCCAGTCCCTGTGTCTGCTCCTGTGCTTGACCACCACCCGATGCCACCTACCTTGCCACCTCCTTTGCGTTCCGTCTCACAGCATTACTCATGGCAGAGACTTCATAAGGCGGTTGATTCCACTATAGTAGAACTCACACCACTTCCTGTCGATCCCTTGGAGACTCCAGATTCGGTTGATACGGATTCAGGTATTCCTCTTGATCCCACTACTATTTCAGTTCCCATTGGTCCTACTAACACTGTTACAGATAACCTTGATCTCTAGAAAAGAGAAGAGAAAGTGCACTGCTCATTGTATTTCACAGTACTTATCCTACAGTGGACTTTCTCCTTCCTACCGTGCTTTTCTCTCTTCTCTTGATTCAGTGTCTATACCCAAGGGTGTTAGTGAGGCTCTCTCCAAA